TCTTATATTGCATGGCTCAACACACTTCGCTCCATCACAAACGCAACTTGTGGCTCAACACACTCCGCTCCGCCACAAGCACAACTTAGTAGCTCAAGTTGTAGTAGTAGTAGTAGTAGTAGTAGTAGTAGTAGTAGGAGCAGCAGCAGCAGCAGCAGGAGCAGCAGTAGCAGTAGCAGTGGCAGTGGCAGGGGCAGCTGCTGTGGCTGTGGCTGTGGCAGTGGTAGTGGTAGTAGCAACAGTAGAGGTAGTAGCAGTAGCAGTAGGTGTTGGTGGTGGTGGTGGTGGTGATGGTGGTGGTGGCGGTGGTAGCAGTCGTCGTCATCCTCGTAGTGGTAGTAGTACTGGTGATAGTACTGGTATCCGGCCTAGCACCAGCACAGGCAGCAGCAGCAGCAGCAGCTGCAGCAGAAACAGAAGCAGTAACAGAAGCAGGAGTAGAGCACAAATTAGTAACTAGTAGTAGCCGTAGGGTCGTACAGTACAAGCAGTGGCTGCGGTAGTACCGGCAGCAGTTGAAGATCGTAGGACATCGCTATCATCGCCATCGCACCATCGCACCATCACTGACATCATCACAGTCGCTGCCAGCACCCATCGTCATTGTCATATAATACCCAGCATCAGCATAAGCAGCCAGCTTCATCTCCCTCGCCATTGTCATCGAAAACAGCAACATCACCATCAGCAGCAGCAGCAGCAGGAGGAAGAGCTGCATCATAAGCACCGTCATCATAATCCTCATTCTCATGCCTGATATGATGTTGTCCCGGTGCAGAATGTGCTCCAGATGCTAGCTGCCAGCAGCTAGGCCCCGAGCCACAGCAGTCTCGAGCTTCGCGTTGACCGCCGAAACCTGGAAGGGCTTGGACAGTAGCCAGGGTTCAAGTGTTCAAGCTCTGCATTTGGATCCCGCTCCCGCCTGCGCTAACTGCTTGGCAAGGTCGTCCTGACCCCAGGAGGCAATGAACGAAGCACACAGAGTGACTGACGTTGGACATCGTTGGACCCTTACGAGCAGCAGCCCGGCAGCCCCTCGTGCATGTCCTGATTCGACGTGATGCGTCCAGACTCCAATGTCGAGCGCATCTCCCGCATCTGGCAACCCAGCTCCTGCGGCAGAATTTGTGCTGGACAGCTGCTGCAGGTCCCCTGCTCTACCCACCTCGAGCTTGGTCTCCAGGTGCTTCTGAGATGCTTGAACCGTGTCCTGCAACATCCACACACTGCCTGGAATACTGAATACTCCGTACTCGTGCAACTGCCTGCTGACCCTGCAAGAGATTTGTGTACTCCAACTTCAGCTGCTCCACCTCCGCATGAAATGCAGGAGAACGTCTCTCGATGAAGCAGGGCATGCTTTACTCGAGGGCCAGGCACGGCGGCGCTCCTCCTCCAGCGAAGCCTTTGCGAGGACAAAAACAGGAAACAGGTTCCTGCACGAAACTAATCAGCCTTATGTGCCTATTCGCAACGCGAGCCTGCCCGTCTGGCTATTGCATGACACTTCGATCTTGAACCCTGAAGAAATCGTCGCCCCTGCTCTGTATACCAGTTGGCTCTATCAACATGAAGGCCTTCGATTCTAAGAACGAAGGCAGGCAGAGCTAGACACTGCCGGATGCCTTGGCAGCACTTGCTCTGCTCTCGAGCTGCAGCTCCACCTCTGCGCGGATGACATTATGATGCACAAGCAACCGTTGGCTAACACGAAGTTTCACTGAGGCGTCCAGTCGTTTCAACAGGCTCGGACTAAAAACCTCGCTATGGTCTTCTGCAGCCACTGGAAGACACTGAAGCATCGTAAAGATTTCGAAGGCCTGAATGCCTGAATCGGAGACCCTGTACATCGGAGCGACATGCAACACCTGAGACTCTCTGCTTCAGCTGAAAACCTGAGCTTGCAATTCCTTGCAATCCATCCCTGGATGTGGCTATGCGGCGGCACCTGCCGAGCAGACTCGATTTGCCTGCGCAAGGCCTCGTTGAGCAAAAACGGCATCGCTTCTGGTGCCCAAAAAAGTGCAGGTTGTTCTAAACTACATGGGCGACGACGCCTAAACGCAACCCTCAAGCAGAACGACCCCACAGGGCCAGCGCCTTGCCTGGTCTGCGTGAGTAGCATCCTCAGACACAACGGTCTGAACGACGGCGCGACCTCAGCCCGGCGAAGCTTCTCCCCACGCAATCAATGGTACTCACTAGCAGCTAGCAGCGGTCTGCGTATTGCATCACTGAGTTTGAGACCAGAAGTATGTAAAAACTGCGTGGGTACATACATATATATATATATATACATCTATACATATACATACATATGTATATATATATATACATATAAATATATACAAAATTAAATACATATATATATATGTATATACATACACATCAAAACTGCTACTGGTAGTATACAGGCAAACAGCCAAACACCTTGGGGGCGCTGCGTTCACCTTCTGCTGCATCAAGTCTGGATTTGGATTGCTGGACCTTCGCCTGCGCAGCAGTAGTCAGGCCACAAAAGAAATGCAACGAAGTGCCCTAGCCATTTGCTGCCAAGTGCAGCATTACTATCGCAGATTTGAATACATCATAAATTCGTTGCGGCTGTGTGAAGCACAACATCTCCTCCTTCTGCAAGAGGGTTAGGTTACATACCTACTCACCCCTGCGTTTGCCAACTTGTATTAACTTTCATGTATTCCACCACATGATATTGTGCATGTGTACAGTTGTATGCATGCATGCATGCATGCATGCATGCATGCATGCATGCATACATACATACGTACATATGTATGAACACACAAATGTATATTCATGTTTGTATTTATGTGTACCCATTCTTACATACGTTTATTTATATATTTATATATATATATATGTGAGTGTATGTATGTGTGTATATATATATATACATATACACATATGTGTACATGTAAACATTTGTTTAGAGATGTGTATTTATGTGTGTATATAGCTAGTAGAATGAGTTCCGAACACAAAAGTAGGGCTACTTGTAAAATCTGTACATCTGCACACTTGCGTTGCAATGTTTTGCAAGCTCCGTTGTACGTCTAAATGAGACAAAAACGACTTGTGTACCTGTAGACTGCATGTTCATCCATCGCCGTTTCTGTGTGGGCAATCCCTCTGATGATAGTTGTTCATGCTTGGCTAATATCACGTTGCCTTCGTCTGCATCCGAATGACGTGGGTGTACGAGTTCATGTATCAGCCTAGACCATACGGACACTTCTTGCACATGTGCAAAACTAATCAACTGAACCCCGGTGGGCAGCCCTGAAGCTAAACCCTCAATCAACCCTAAACCTCTCAAACCCAAATTTCCCAAACCCTACAACCCTAAACTTTAAACCCTAAAACCCTGAAAATCCTAAACCTGCCACCCTGATCGGAGTGCAAAGCGACCTCGAGCTCGCTTGCCACTGTGTGGACCTGCTCAGGCAGGGAGGGGCAGGGAGGGGGAGGGGGGGGGGGGGGGAGGGGGG